ATGACCTAAGAATGATTCTTACCTTATAGGGTCATTATTAAGATTTAATGAGTTAATAAATGAATACTACTTAGAACAGTTTCTTGCATAAAGGAAGCCCTGATTATGGAAATAATTGTTATGTTATCTAATCTAATTCTTTTTAATTTATTTTTATTATGTGAAGAACCCCAAATTGTGGATAGTTACATGACTTGTCAGGATTTACAAAATAGTGGTATCAGTGCTGGGACCAGAAGCAGTGTTTTATTTTAGATGTTATTGTGTGTGTGAGGGTAGGTACATCTGAGGAAGTTAGAGGACAACTTTTGGAAATTGGTTCTTTCCTTCTGCTATGAATTTCAAGGACTGAATTCAGGTTGCCAAGCTTGTGGAACAAGCACCTTTACCCAGCCCCTAAAGCAATATTTTCTAAATTTTATTACCAATACACTTTATTTATTTATTTTTTTCAGACAGTGTATCCCTATAGCCCCAGCTGGCCTGGAATTTATACAGACTACACTGGCCACCATCTCACTGAGATCTGCCTGCCTCTGTCTCTCAAATGCTGTGATTAAAGATGTGTACCACCATACCTGACTTCTTTTTGTGTGTGAGTGTGTGTGTGTGCATGTCTGTCTGTATGTATGTATGTGTGCATGTGAGCACAGGTACCCATACAAAGGCCAGAGCCATAGGATCTCTCTGGAGCTGAAGTTACAGGTGGTTGTGAGTTTCCTGATGTGGATGCTGGGAACTGAACTTGAATCTTCTGAAAGTGCAGTACATACTTCTAACTACTGGGCCATTTTTCCAGCCCTAATATAGTTCATTTTTTAATTTTACTTTTAATTTTGTTTTGATCTTTTTGAGACAGGGTCTCTCTCTCTCTAGCCCCAGCTGGCCTGGGACTCACCATGCAGATCAGACTGGCCTTGATCTCTCAAGTACTGGAATTAAAGGCATGCGGCACCATGCCCAGCAAACCTAGTTCATTTAAAAACATATTTATTTTATTTTATGTGTATGAGTGTTATGCCTGCATGTATGTAAGTATACCTGTGTTTTACAATGCCTGTGAAGGACAGAAGAGGGCGTTGGATCCCCTGGAACTGAGTTAAGGAGTGTTAACTACCATGTCGGTGCAGGGATTGAACCTGGGTCTTCTTCAAGAGTAGCTGGTGTGCCTAACTGCTGAGCCTTCTCAAGCTGTCTCTCCAGTAATATACTTCATTTTAAAAAAGGGGCTTAGGCTTGTAGCAAATTTGAGGGAAAGATACCAGGTTTCTCCTGTACTACCTATTCCCATGCATGCATTATTGCTCCCCACCCACCAATATTCTTTAACAGAGTGTTACACTTATTACAATAAGTGAACCTAACTTTGAACAATCATTATTGCTCAAAGTCCAATCTGTACATTTATTCTCACTCTTGCTATGGAATATTCTGTGGGTTTGAACAAAAGTATAATCACTTATATCTATCTGGCCACTATTGGATCATATTGAGTAATTTTAATCCCAGAAAGTCTTCTGTTTAATTTATTCTTCACTCCTTCACCCTAACTCCTGGAACCATTGACTTTGTTTCTTACTCTCAAGTATAGTTTGCCTTTCCTAGGATGCCATATAGTTAGAATCATCTAATGTGTAACTTTTTCACATTAGCTTGTTTCACTTAGTAATATGTATTTAAATTTCCTACATATCTTTGCATGGCTTATTTCTTTTTAGCACAGGAAAACATTCTATTGTCTGGATATGCCACAGACTGTCCATTCGTCTAATAAAGAGCATCTTGATTATTTGCAAATATGAATTGTAGCGCATCTCTGTTGCTTGGGATTACAAATTTCAGTTTGTTGCTTAAATACCCAGGAGTGTATTCGCTAGATCCTATGAGAAAAGAAAGTCTGTTTAGTTTTGTAAGAAGCTGTCAGCTAGTTGTACTCTTTTCCATCATTGCCATCAATGAAGGCGAGTTCCTGTTGTTCCATGTCCTCACAGCATTTGGCTCTGTCGCTATTTTGGGTTTTAGCCATTCTAAGAAATGTGTGATGATATCTCATTGTTTGAATTTACATTTCTTTGATGACATATGTTTTCATTTGCGTTTTTCCATTTGTTTCTTCTCTTCAGTGAGGTGTCTGTTGAGCTCTACCTACTTTTTAATCTGGTGGCTTGCTTTCTTACTGAGTTTAACAGATATTATCATATTTCAGATAATTGTCTATTGTAAAATGTATCTTCTGTAAACATCTCCTCCCTGTCTATGGCATGTCTTGACATTCTCTTCAGTGTCTTTCACAGAGAAAAACAGTAATTTTAATGAAGTGTAGCTTACCAGTTATTTCTTTCATGGATCACACCTCTGGTGTTTTATCTAAAGATTTCTTTCTATATTTTGGAGTCTTTGTTTGAATTTTACAAATATTTTACAAATGTAAATGGTCTGTGACGAGCTAATTTCTGTGGAGTGTTTAAGGTCTGTGTCTAGGGTTTTTATTGTTGTTGTTTGCCTTTTTTATTTTCATGTCATGTTCCTGCACTATTTGTTTAAAAGAATGTCTTTGCTCCATTGTCTTGTCTTTTTTATTTTGTTAAAAGATCCATTGACTAAATTTATGTGGATCTATTTCCGGCCTCTCTACTCTTTTAAGCCATTGATCTATTTGTTTATTCTTTTTTCAATACCACACTCTGTTGATTACTATAACTTTTCCAACTTAATTCTTTGTTCTCCTTGATTTGCCTATTGATTATTCTTGGTCTTTTGCATTTCCATATAGACTTTACAATGAGTTTGTAAATATCCGCTGATTATCTTTCTGGGATTTTGATAAGGATTTCATTGAATGTATAGATCCATTTGGAATAATTTGAATAATTTGTCAAGCTATAAAGGCTATGTAATTTTTAATTAGCATTTTTTCTTTTTTTGAAAAATGTGTGTATTTGCATGGTATTCGTGTGCATACATGTTTGTAGGCACAAGTGTGTGTGTAGGTAGTCATGCACATGGGTGCGCATGCACATCAGGCCTGAGATTGACATTGGGTTTCTTCCTCAATTGCTTTCCACATTATTCATTGAAGCAAAGTTTCTCAGTACAACCCAGAGCTTGAAGTTACAGTTTTGGCTTACTTGGCTAGCCATTCTGTTCTGGGGAACCCCATGTCTGCCTTCTGATTGTTGAAAACATGGGCAGGCTTCTAAGCCTGCATATTTAAGTGGGGATCTGAACTCTGGTCCTCATGCTTACACGGCAAGTACTTTACTGGCTGAGCCATCTCCCCATCATCATTTTTTTCTTAATATATATGAAGAAAGCTTCAGAGAAGCCAGAGGGCACTATTATAAACACAGCTCCAGGTAGAGCAGCAAAGGGCAAGATGTATGCTGATATATAGGCTGGGCTTGAATGTGTTATATAGATGAGGACTTTTGACTTCTGATTCACCTGCCTCCATACCCTAAGTCCTCAGATTATGGGCGTAAATCACCCTGTTCAGATTTATGAAGTGCTGGGGATTGAACCCAGGGCCTTGTGCATGTTAGGCAAACACTTTAACAACTGACCCATATCCCAGCTCACTAAGGTTGTTTTGATTATGTAAAGGAACACAGCTGATATTTAAATTAAAGTAATACACTAAATCCTATAAAAGATGATTTTATAGTTGATGTACTTAGGATCATTGCTGCCCAAATACAGAGTTGGAATAAGTCAAATGTACTCTCTTTATTTTTCATGTGAATTTTGTTTAGAAAATTTTACTCTATTTTAATGTTTTTAAATACAAACAAATGACACAGCCATGGTTCTGTAGAACCATATTAAGGAAAGTGAGTGTCTACACAGATACAGTGCTCAAATACGGTATGACTCATCAAGAATTATTATGAAAAATTGAGGGATAAGAAGACTGACTGGAAACTTGTCTTGTGTTTTGATGTTGGTAATTCTGCAGCTGCATTGGAGAAAAGGCCCCTGGGGGTTGGTAGAGGATATGGGGAGCATGTGATGAGACCAGCAATGCAGTTCACAACAATATTCTGGAGCTAGTGTATGAGAAAACTTGGTTAGAAGTATAGAATAAAGAGAGTTTTCTTTTTTCTTTCAAGGAAATTTTATTTAGAAGTATTAATTTTAATTTTTACTCCTAATAAAAGATCAAGGACTATATGCTGTAGTTTCAGATCCATATTCTATGAATAACTCCTCATGGAATTTATTTCTCCTGCACAGTATGTACTATGTTCTTTGCACCTGTTCATACAGAGTACATTGCCTTGTAATGTTTGTATAGTTGGATGCTTCAAATAAGAAACCAATCTGCTTTCTTCTAGAGTACTAGCTTACTAGCAAGTTAATTAAACTTAATTCTGTTTTTGTCTGCAATTTTGTATATGGTCTTGATTTATTTACTGAGCAACAATTTCCTCTTGCAGTTATCAGTTTTGTCTGAGATCAGTTTTCTATTGTATGAAGTCTGTTTCTTACAGAGTCTCCTTTAAGACTGCTCTGACTTTAAAATCATTACTAGGCTTTTGTCAGAGCAGATTTGTTGATATTCTTCTCACATTAAAAAAAATTTGAAAGATTGCACAAATAAGCTATGCATTTCACTGTTTCCTGCTAATATGCAAAAAAAATGTATTTATGATAATTACACACGTACTGTGTGCCAGAGCTGAAACAATACATTCCTCATAATGGAGCATAAATAAAGAAGGTGGAGCCAGCTGCTCTTAAACTGTTTATTTGCAAGCAGTAATGATGTGGAGAATATACCTTTTCACTCTGTTAGTCTGGCAATGCTGAACCTGTTGCTGCGTTAGCCGAGTTGCATTTTGCTGGGTAGGGGAAGGAGGGCTGTCTGCTGTCTGGTAGGAGGGCTTTGTCTCTGCCTTTCTCTCTGTTTCTGTTTTTCTTTCTCTCTCTCCTTTTCTCTCTCTCTCTCACTGGCTTGCTTGCTCTGTCTCTGTCTCTCTCTGCCCCCCTCTCCCTCCCTCTCTCCTACTCTCTCTCTCTCTCCCTCTCTTCCCGTCTCTGTGGTTTGTAAGGTAGGTTGCAGTGTGTGTATATACACAACATCAAGAGCAGGAAAATGGACTCATTAGGGAGGCAGGCAGTCATTACCACTCACACTGTACTTCCAGGGAGACACCGATTATGAGAAGAGAAACTCAGCAGCGCTGGGGAAGAAGGTAGGGCAGACAACTTTCATAAAAAAAGATCCTGCCTCCTCAATCCCCCTTCTGTTTGTCATCTATTTAGTCCACAGTGCTTTTATTCTTTCTTCCTTGAATTTTAATTTCTATGTTTAAATTTGACAGAGGTAATGCTAGCTTAAAATTTGGACCATCTATAGGAGGCCTACCCTCTATTAATTTTCTTCCTACTAATTTAAGGGTGTGACCTTTTGATTCAGTTTTATTACTTTAAAAATAATTGCAAACAAACCTATTTTCTCACTTAAGTACCAAATAAATCAGAATCTTTCACTCTTTTAAAACAAACTCCTCCGTATGTTTGTCTCTTCACTTTTCTTGTCTGTTTATGCAATTCCATCTGTCTGTCTATATATCATGTTGTCCTTATTTATTGCTAACTGGGTTTTGTTAGTTATTTGCCAGTGAGTTTGAGCTGCAGTGCCAGTGTGGATACTACCAAAGTGAGACTCTTTTTTCTTTGTTTTGCATTGAGGTTTAAAGTCCATATTTACAGTTTAAATCCTTGAGGCAGGTTGCATACTTTCTGCCAGCATGTTTATTTGATGGCATTGGACATAAGGTGAGGGGTAGCTCCTGAGGGTGGGTAAAAATTAACTAATTATTTTTTCCATTGCACACATAGCAATATTGCATGGGGGGGGGTAAGTATTTTGAAAGAAATAAGGAACTACTTTCTAACTTTCCATTTTCCAGATAGACTGTTACATTTATATTATACTGATACATTATATCACAGTGGTTAGTAAGAACACAAACTTTCTTAACAAGCAGTTTTTTTTTTTATCCTAGGACAGTTTCCTTTTAGTATGTTACTGTTTGTTTATGTTTGGGGAGGGAGGATTGGGGGGCTGGCCATCTTTTTACAAAGTGGAAGCTATGAAGTGTATCAGGCCATCTTGTGCAACGACTGTAAGCACTCTATTAACGTTTTGGGGACCATAAATAATGTATTTGTTATTGCACATATGTTTTTGAGGTACTTTCCCTTTATTTCATTTTTCTTCTTATGGTGGGAAGAGTTATGTTTCAAACTAGCTGACATTGTTGAAGAATTTTCCTAGAATAGTGTTCTTCGAAATTGTAAGGAATAGTTAAATAAGATCTGTTTGAAATAGACTTTTTGATGGAGCTTTATTTGGATTTGTCCGAAAGTAAAACTTCTATTCATCTGATAAAAATTAAGTCAGATTGAGACAACTAAATGTTTTCAGAATATGCAGTAACAGTGATAGAAAATGGATGCTGATCTGAGAGATCTTTGATAATAACAATCACCTTTTGTAATAAATTATTTATTTAATATAAGTGGCAGACTCCCCCCACCCCCAATTCCATTAGGCTTCTCTGACAACACAAAGAAGTCCATAAAGCAATATTCTTAACCCACCTGGGACACTAGAGCAGACTCCTCAATACATTCTCAAGGTTCAAACCTAGTAAAATGTTTATTAAAAACCCATTATTCCAGGAGGGTGGTGAACTTTTGCTGCTAAAAGTCTTTTTTTACATCTTCTTTTTAAAAATTTATATTTAGAGTTTTAATTTGATTATTTTTCTAAACTATCTTTGAAGCTTGAAAGTCCAGCCTTGACCAAAAGTAGAACAAATCTAAAGTACATTCAATCAGATCCTTTCCCAGCTTGTTTTCCCATCAAAGGTCTCAGGGAAACTTTAGGGTCAGTCTTTAGGAGGTATGTATTAACAGTGTGCATAGTAAACTGTTTTGAGTAGGGTTTTTTTTCCATTTCAGACTCTGGCTCAATATTTTGTTTCAGAACTATTAGGTCAGAAGTGTGCCTTGTCTCATGCACCTGTTATTTTCTATATTAGCATTGTGAGAGTTACCTAAGGTGTTCTTAACAAAAAAAATCACATCTCTTGATCAACCATTTTTAATGTACACATGTATTTGTGGAAATATTGGTATTCATTGATATACTTAATTTCATATTTGTATGGGTAAAGGAATCACAGATTCTTTGCTGATATGATAGTTTAAAAAATTTCATGTTAAGTGTATTTATATTAACCACAAGCAAACAACAAATAGAGTGACTCTGAAGAGAAAATGAAAATGTCTTTTGACCTTCTACAAAGGATAAAAGCAAGTAAATTTTTAGTTATTTCTGTGTTGGTTTTAATTTTAGAATATGTTTTCTTCTGTATTATAATTCTTGGTGGGCTTTCAGTAAATCTAAAATATATTTAGTATGAAAAATAATCTTGCCCTTTTCTGGGAGGGACTGTCACAATCTAAATACAACAAGACATTGTAAAATGTGCATAAGTAAACTTAAAACCAATGTGTTCTGCTGTATAGAGATTTGGAAGGCTGAAAGGCTTGCATCACAGGAGGGCTAGGGAGTGCCAGAAAAATTCATTAACCAGCCTTGCTGGTTCTGGTGGGCTCTTATCAGCACATGAAATCTGCCTGTTTAGATCCTTGAAGCCTTGGTCAGGTCACAGTGTGTTTCATTTTAATGTTGGAGCAGACAGTTATCTAACACACCCACATGAGGAAGTGCTCTAAAGCAGTTATTTCATGCTTTGCCATGCCCTGTAGCTAAAACAATTTGGTATTGAGTGACGTGTGTGTGCTTTTTAACTCCTATCCGATGAAAATCAGCTTTGGCTCTTTGAAAAGCACCCAAACAGTGGAATGCCAAACAGTATGATTCAAATGCTTAGCACATGCCAATTTAAACTAAAAAAAAATTTTATCTGAAGGGACGAATCATTGTGATTATTTTTAATATAAAAACTATATGGTGATTTCCTGGATCTTACTCAATAGTATTTCAAAAAATCGCAGCTATTTTTCCTTTATATTTTTTTTCTGAAGAAGCCTATATTCATCAAAAGGAAGGCAGCTGCATTCTTTCTTCCTGAAATGTTAACAAATAAATGGCATTCCTGTTTATTTATCTATTTTTGAATTTTAATGATTAGTCCTTGTGCTAATTAACAAATTCCTGTATTCCTAAAATCTGACACTGTATATAAATATCCAATTGTGTGATTAGCTACACATGTTCTGGCTTTCTATAAATATAGAAATTATCAGTGGTTGTGTTCATGGACTTGCTCAACCCTGAGTAGTGGCTGGTCATGCTGCCACATAGGAAGCCAAATTCAGGCCTTGAGCAACATGTTGCTCTAGGGTCTGGCAAGGTGTATGGGAGCAGCATCTGGCTCTTGTTGCTAGCTAGTGATCTTTTCTGGCAAAGGAGGAACTGGTGTTGACATTCTTTGAATGCTGCTAGCTCCAGCTTTCTTCAGTCACAAGGGTGGCCTCTTAAGGATAAAGGGGAATAGTGGGCTTTGGTGCTGATTTACATTGGACACTGCTTTAGGAATGTATCTAAGAGATGTTTTTTGGTGGAAAATGTGCCTTATTTAACTTCTACAAAAGAAGTAAAATTGTATGCCTATCCTAACTTTTCTAATTGGAGAGGAGCAGAGCCAGCTCAAGACGCTACAAAGCACTGAAAAAGGAAATCTAAATATTTTCACTTATTTGGCTGTATATATTACAAGCAAATTTTAGACATCAAGTGTTGCAAAGAAACATTTTAGTCTCCACCAATGACAGTACACATTATCAGCTGTGCAAGGAGTACCTGCAGTATTTTCATTAACTTAGAAGTCAGGCCTTTTAAGTGATTTTTTTTTATATTATGTAAGACATTTTGGTTATTTTCATATAATTACTAGGGATTATTTACAAAACTATGAGAGTCAGCATTGAGTATTTGATACTTTGCTTTAAATCTTCAAGTCAAGTATAGTACATGTAAAACCTAGAACTTGTAATTTTCCTGAAAGCCTGTTTATTTCCATTGCTTAAATAATTTCTAGCACTTTTCAGAATTTCCAGGAGCCATAGCCAATAACTAGCAGGGTGCTTTTCATTTGTTAGCAAAAGTCTGAAGGTTATATGTATATCGTACAAATTCTAGAAAATGTGACTTCATGATTTCCTGTTACACAAATATGCTATCTTTACTTATCAATATTGGTGCCTATTAAATTTAATGTATGAAGAATATCTTTGATTACTTTTCCAATTTCAGGTTAGGCAAATTTCTGAGGCTGTGGGAAGAAAAAGTGCCACCTGCCCCTTATTACTTCAAAGCAGCATCCAAGGGCCTACAAGAAAATGGGACTTCTACCTATTCAAATATAGTAATGGCTAAGTGCTGTGCCATTTCTGCACTTAGCTGTGGGAAAATTATGCTCAACTTTGGCTTCATAACGTTTTTTCTACTTCAGGATCAAGCCCCTCCTGATGATTCTGCAGTTCACTTGAAAGTAATCAGCTTGAGGACATGGAACTTGCCTTTCTGGAATCTTTTGACACTCAACTGAAACTCCAGGCGGGCGTTTCATGGTGTGCTTAAGCATTGCAATCCTTACATAACCACTTTAACTTAGACAAAGTTAGCTACTGACTTCCAAGTAAGAATGCTGAGCAAGGGAGCAGGGACTGTAAATTGATTGACTCATACAGTTCTCAGATGCATACTGAGCATATTATCATTAATTCTGAATATCCACTTCTATCTTTGAAACTGATGGGAAGGGTGGTAATTATGGAGAACTATGTTTGCCTTTTTGATATTAGAAGTAATTTTGGCACTGAGACTTGTATGTCTCCAGTTATGATAAATTTATTACTAAGCATTTAAATATTAAGAAATATTTAAATGTTAAATATTAAGAATTTATTTGAAAACTTTTCATATTAAACTACTAGTGCAAGGATTTACATTCAACAAATAGAAATTTTTGTATAGCATAGTTTGGGATTTTTGAAGATTAAAAAGGTGCCCAATAAATTGAAACTAAAGGTACAAATGGAAATAATTATAAATTTTATGCAACGTATTATTTTGTCTTTAAGGAAAGCCACTCAAAACCTTTTGAAACCATAAATTTTGTTGTTTAAATTTTAATGATTAGAAGGTTTTAAT